GAGAGGGTCCTGGGGTCAAACCCAACACTAGTCCCAGATGCAAGCCTGTGCTCGGTCTGTGAAGGAGAGTGTGAGAGACATTTTAGGATGGAGACAGTCAAACAGAAAGAAACTAATAAAGTAAAGCAATAGTTGTGTGGTTTGTGTCAGAGGTCATGTCAATGACATTTACATTTTAATATACATTTTACATATTTTAATACATTTTATATTTAATATAAGTGTATTTATAGAATATTTTTGTGAGTAGTGTTGCTCCTACAAACTTTTAAAAATTTCATTAATCAATAACAAGCACAGAACATCAAGCACAGAATTTTACTTTTACAATATTATTTCGATGTTTTTAACAACAGATATTTAATAGGAAAACAACTAATACATATACAAATAATTTTTATTAGTAAAAACAGATTTGTAATATTTACAGATTTTTTTATATACTTAAAAATGTGTCTTTTGACTATTGCAAGTGGCAAAACATTAAATGTCGTTGACATTTTTTTTTTTACATTAATAATTTTAATTAGCAAGGATGCAAAAGTGATAGTTAAGATGTTTAACACTTTTATTCAGCAAGGACACATTAATCGAACAAAAGTGATAGTTCAGATATTTATAATATTACAAAAGACAAAAGATTTTAAAAAGAACTTTAAAAAGCAAGGGCAAATAATTGCCAAATTAGGCCTCAAATTGTGTCCTATTCAATATTTTTGGCCTTCTTTGCTAATGTAAATGTTTTTTGCTAGTTACAATTCCCTTATTGGTATGCGGCTTCAAACCCCACGCCGGTCCCTGCATAAGTGCTCAAGTACAGCCACAATTCTCTCAGGATCAGTCTGGAGAGGTTGAGAGTCATTTCAGCAGATCATGAGGGGTTTCGATGGTGGTGCATTAAAGATTACCCCTCACTGTGATTTGACAGATGGAATGTGTGTGGGTGAGCGAGCTCCTTCGAGAATACTTCAGTGTTACATGCATGCTGAGACACATCTCCACACCTCTTGAAGCATACGTTCTTTGTTTTTTTCTGCAGAAGTTTGGCATTATAGCAATTAGACTGTAATCACCGTAATGAACAGAATAACCGTCTATTATCCAAGTGCCAACTTTGACTCCCTGACTTGCTTCTGGGAAGAGATGAAAAGGTTTTCTGAATCTCACAAACTTGTTGCAAACATGTTTTGTAAATATTTGAGGGCATTCAACGATTAGGGAAAAATCATTATGGTGACGAAAGACGTACATATGAACACACAAGAGGAACAGAGAACACACAAAGGATTAGAGGGAGTATCCAACATCACTGTCAAAAAGAAAAAAAAAGTTTATGCTGCATAATTTGACTTTGAATGTAAAATTAAGTTTACATTAATTTAGATGATTAATCCTTATGAAGTAATCTTAATAATACAGTCATATTAATAAGAAACAAAAACACAATAAAGAACTTAGCAAGTACAATTAACGCTTCATTTACTGCCCTAGTGTTTTTACAGCCTGCAGTCAGCAGAGACTAGCAGCTACTAAATGCAGTGTGCCAAACCACACTTACTGAGAGCAGACAGCACAGAATGAGTCAGGAGCATGGACTCATTCACACAGGACGTGTTCTTGTGTTTACAAATAGCTAGATGGGGAACAGAATGCAGAGGGCTCACGACACATTTTTTAAAACCATTTTTATCTTGACATTTTTAACAAGTCTTTAAAAAAACCCTTCACTCATGGTGCTGAGAAAGACTCTACTAATAACACTGTACTAATGGCTGCTGAAAATTCAGCTTTGCCATCACAGAAATAAAATATAAAACAGTTATTAATAACTGGAGCTCTGGCTCTTTGCTCTTTACTTTGTACGCACACAAACACACACACACACACACACACACATATATATATATATATGTGTGTGTGTGTGTGTGTGCAAAGATGTCTGTCTGGATGTGTAAATATTTGTGGATGTGTAAATCCACATTTCTGCTAGATGGATTTCTGTCTGTCTGTATATACTGTATGTATGTTTGTATTTATGTGTGTATGTGTGTGTTGTATATATATACACACACACACACATGCATATCCATATAGAAATATAGAAACTAGAAATCCATTTAGCAGAAATGTGCATATGTACACATCCAGACAGACATCTTTGCATACACACACACACACACACACACATATATATGTGTGTCATTTTATGCTGAAGAGAACATATTGCAAAGCAAAGGCATTAGGTGCAAAAGTTTCACTTGAATGCACATAGCCCGCAATGCTTTACACACAAACCTCAATGATGGTGACAGGCATCAAACAATTCTTAGGATTACAAGGAGGAAGTGATAGAAAAATAGATTTGAACATCTTTTTCAACCATACATACAGTACTGTTGACACTGACATGAATGTATTGGCTATATGGGACATTTTCCATTTAGTAAACAAGCAAATTTGACTTGGATAATCTAAGAAGTGTTAGTGAGAACAATTGTTAAGACTCAAAAATCTCAATGCATTACACCGCCTTGATTTTTACAGTGAGGCGCTCATGACACTCTGTAAACCTTAACAACAATGGTGAAAACACCAACTACTGTATATGCTGAAAGCTGAGTCACTGTGAATCAGAGCTGTTTAACCTTACTATATGACTTTTGATTGACATTGGTTTTCTGGAACATTACAGTATCTCTTTGGTTAGCAGTAACGTGACTCATAACTGGTAACTAGCACATCATGGATTCAATCACAGAATGACACACATACACAAATAGCTGCTTTCTCACTGACTGTACATCTCACTCCTCACACTTGTCAAAGACAAGTTCAGACCTGCCGATCTGATGAGACGGACTTAAACACCCAGCATGTGTTTGGCACGCTCATATCTAGGGAAAGCCCAGTAAATGTGGTCTGTTTTTTATTTAGTGTGGAAATATGATTATGTGTTGCAAAAGGGGGTTCAGTAAGAACTGTGGTGGCATGTTAAAAGCATATCAGAATATCAACATGTCATGTAATTTCAGTAAGGCTTGTAAGTCTTCCTTTGAATGCCGTTTCCACCACAGAAGTGGGGTCAAATGAGACAAGATCTGCAGGGGATGAGAGTTTTGACTGTCTCTATGTAAGAAGGGTGCCATCTGGTGACTAACAGAAGAAGTGAACATGCAATGAAAGGAGCCCCATGGGACTGTCCACCCAAAATTTAAAATGCTGTCACCAGTTACTCACCCTCATGTCATTCTAAACCTGTATGACTTTGTTTCTTCTGTGGGACACAAAAGAAGCTATTTTGAAGAATGTTGGTAGCCAAACAATTTTGGTTCCCATCGACTTCCATTATATGGTCCATAAATACGAAACAGTGTGTTTCCACTGCAGTATAAAAAAAAAACAATTAAAAAGTAAAGCTAAGACTTTTTATTTCACAATTTTTGTCTTGCAATTCTGAGTCTCACAGTTTACACTTTTTCACCCGCAGTTCTGAATTCTTCTCAGAATTCTCAGAAATTCAAGATACAAACTCAGAATTGCAAAGAAAAAAATTCACAACTACCTTGTTCACTTTTTGTTCTGTGACAAAAAACAAACTGAATTGTAAGATGTAAACTCAGAATTCTAAGGAAAAAATTTGAGATTAAAGTTGCAATTACCTTTTTTCTTTTTTTTCTTTTTTTATTCCAAAGCGAAAACAGGCTTCAATTATGTGGTCAAGAATGGAAGTCCATGTGAAGCAAAACTGTTTGGTTACCAACATTCTTCAAAATATCTTCTTTTGAGTTCTACAGAAGTAGAAAGTCATACAGGTTTGAAACGACATGAAGGTGAGTAAATGCTGACTTTAAGTACACAATGAATGTCTGTTTTAAAATTATTAGCCTTTTATACTGACCTAATGTGCATTATGTCATTGTTCATTGCAACTTTTAACAAACCATCAGCCTAAATATTTTCTCATGCACAATGCACATGGTAGCACTCTCATACAAATGAAACAGATGTTCAGCTCTACATTAAAAAAAAACAATATACTAACTTTATGTTACCATCCATGACCTGAAGTGTTTGTATTGGCTTTCATAATGGTAGTAATGGTTATAATAATGATAGCTCACCCATTCTCGTCACTCACATGCAGAAGAATCCCCCGCCCAGGCTCGGCTCGTCTAGCATGCCTCCATCTTTTCAGGCGCATGAAACCATGTCAGCTTGTTTGTCAAACACTCGGATTCAATTCACACCCAGCTTCTTTTGCATTTCTTGTTTAATAAATAATTAGCTTGAAGTTATGTAACCGTTCTATTCTCAGTCCTAATGCAGGTGGTCAGAAGAGTGGAACAAGTTCATCAAGATGGCTGAAAAATAGCAGTTTGACTACTCACCCATTGTTTAGAAAAAGACGTCTTTTTGGTTTGATCCAAGTTTCAGACGCAGTGACAAACATCATTTTGATTCCGTCATCTAAAACTGGATAATTTAAGCAGATTATAGCTACACTTTGTGGTTTGGGTTCCGTTCTGTGCAGATTCATTAGCATTTGGATGTAAATCTGATCCCACTCTACTTGGAAATTAAATTTTTCAGCAATCAGGTTTGTAATGATTATCCTTAGCCCACTCACAATAACCATTTTATAATTTATAGTAGTTATTAAAAGAAATACTCAACGGAGTATCTTTGAAATACCTTTATTTTCTGTATAGAGCTGCATTTTGGTTGCAGGTGGTTATTTTTAAAAAAACTTCAAAATTGTAATATTTATAATAATCTGTCAATAGTATATCAGAGTGACCAATATGATAACATAAGTCAGATATTGCATATATCAGATTTATGACCCATCAATCCACAGTGAAACCACATTTAGACAGTAAACGGAACACTTCCTTGAAAATTCAGTTTCGCAAATTGAAATTTGGCGACACTGCGGCGATCTTTTTTATGCTTTAAAGTAATTTGTTAAGCTAACCGTGATCTATTTCTGTCCTTTTCAGCACACAACAGTTCTTCCTTTCCTCATAATTGAGATGAGAACAACATACCATCGATATCCCAGCAGGACCTGTGGACTCTTCGCGGTGTGCATGTTTGCTGTGGGATATGTTGTATGGTAAATGTCTCTTTTCACCAAATTGGCTTTGCGTTGTTCTAGCACAGTGTCAGTCAAAAGAAAGATTCCATCTGGCCACCTGAACCTCCAAATCATTTCCTTATGTCTTTCTACACAGTAATTAATTTGCTTGAATTTTGGCACTTTCCTGCACAAACAGGGTAAACTTTGGTCTCCCATTACATTGTAAAAGCATTAGAGGCACAAATCCTGTGTAAACTATCACCTAACATGAAATGAACCTAGCAAAAGGAGGCAGTTTTAAACATACGAAATGACTGTATCGCCATTTAAAACAGAGACTTTGACTATAAGTTTATCAATAACTTCAAAGCTTTAGGCTAAATGTTAGATATTAGTTAGATATTCTGGTGCAGTTTAAAAATACCAGCAGCCACAAGAACAATAATTACTATTATTATTATTATAAATATTAAATACAGTATATGGTGTTTAATAATTAATAAATAACAATAATTAATTATTACTTATTGTTAATAATAATAATAATTTTTGCTTACAAAAATAAAAACATCACACAAACTACACATTCTGGTGTAATTTAAAAACAACAACACGTTTATTTATTTTATTAAGTTTATTTACTAATAAATGTAATATAAGGTGATGCAATAATAAATAGAATAATTAAGAATTAATAATTTGTAATAATAAATTAAAATAAATATTAATACTTTACTCATAATAATAATAATAATCATCATGTCTAGAAAATAAATTCACACAAATCAGGTTTTTTAAACTTCTGTTACACATGCTGGTGTAGTTTACAAACAACAACAACAATAATAACAATAAATATAATAATAACTGATATTAATAATAATAATTATTAATAACATTTTTTTAGAAAACAACATATTTACACAAATAACGGTTTTCAAACTATTTAGATCCAATTAGTCTCAAATTGGCAACAACATTGGAAAACGGCAAACCTCATATAAAATAAATAGAAAATAAAACAGCTTGTATAACATTTAGTTTGACCTCCTGAGGTTGACAAGCACCATTTGTTGCGGGAAAAATAATATTTTAAGAGTTTCAAGCCATGTTTTGTACCAAATTCATGGAAAAAGTGCCTTTTGTAGATACAACCCCAGTTTCAGTGCCCCAGAAACCTTTGGAAAATAATCACCCAAGGATTTATTTAGTCTTGCATATATCAGATTAATTGGCAATATGAAGAAAGTCCTTGGAGCCAATCTAAACTAGTCTGACAGCATGAAGGAGGCCTCTGTCAAAATCACCTTAAGTACAAGATTATCAGCACACACCTCTCTTATTTCTTATTTCCCTTCCCTAAATTAAGCTGATTAGGCACTGCATTTTATTTAGTCAGGGAATAAGACTTGCCTGCAGTTGTTAAATCCATAGGCAGCTTTACATGAGGATTACCTTCCAGAGACAGCTTTTATACACACCATTTCACAGGACACTCACGAGGCTGAGAAAACAAGCCATTTGAAAAGTAGGTAGATGGGCCTTCTTTAATATTCATCAAATATTAAAGCTAAGGTTATGAGTGCGGGAGTAGATTAAACAGGCACAATCCATTACATAAACGGACTGTCAGACCGTAGATTATAACCATGTGACTGCATTAAAATTGCTCCAGCAAAAAAATAATTTAAGCAGCACCGCATCGTAACAAAAAGAGCAGTGTCTAGCATTCACAGACATGAATGGTAGACACATTGACAGTGCGGTGACTGCTTCTGCAGCCTTTCAAATGCTGGATTTAGCAGACAGAAGGACAAACACATTAGACAGATCACGGGTGCAAAGGTAACAGATTTTCTCTGTCTCGCTCTCATAGGATGTGCTGGGTGCACAGCATGACGGGGGTGTGGGTTTATCCGTTGCTGGAGCACATCGGGCCCATGGCCAGAATTCTCTTCTTCATCTGTCTCACGGCTCTGATCAGTGTCTACTACGTCTTGGGAGAAATCCTGAACAACTACATCTGGGATTCCTCGAAGAGTAAGTTAAAGGGATAGCTCAGCCAAAAATGAACATTCTTTCGTCATTCCAAATCTGTACGAGTTTCTTTCTTCTGTGGAACACAAAAGAAGATATTTTGAAGAATGTTGGTAACTAACAGTTGAGGGTCCCATTGACATACTATGGAAGTCGATGGGACCCAACACTGGTTACCAAGATTCTCCAAAATATCTTCTTAAAGGGATAGTTCACCCAAAAATGAAAATTCTGTCATTATTATTCTGTCATCCTCATGTCATGAGGAACACAAAAGAACAGAAAATAAACACCATAAAAGTAGTCCATATAACTGCACTATATTCCAAGCCCTATGAAGGCTTTATGTGAGGAACAAACTAGGGATGCACCAATATTGATAGCAATATTAATAAATGGCTGATATTAAAATTCTATACGGTTTTGTCTAATTAAATAAGCGAATTAAAATTAATGAAAGACAATCATTTAAAATGTTATAAGTGAATTTAGGCATCACAATATTATAATGTAGAGTATTAAAAAATATATTTATTTTGAGATTTGCTAAAGACTACATTTAACAGTCTTATTAAAGGGATTGTTCACCCAAAAATGAAAATTCTGTCATCATTTACTCACCTTCATGTCATTTCAAACCCATAAGACCTTCGTAACACAAATTAAGATTTTTGTTAATGAAACCTGAGAGTTTTGTTACAGAAAAAAGAACGTCATACAGGTTTGGAATGACTGTTTTTCTGATTTTGCGTATTATCCACCATTGACTGGCTACATGTGTGAGTTGTATGTTTATCATGTCTAGCTACAAATTTTCGCTCCCCAACCCATGCCGGGATAGCGGCTAGAGACATTACACATTTCCCCTCGGGTACATATACATTCCGCTTAGCTTCCTAATGCACCCACGCACACTCCTCCACCTGTTAGCGCTATAGACTGGGAGCAGTGCATCGTGGGTGTAGTGCCGCCAAAGGCAGCGCGCAGCAGATGGGAACGGAGCCCATGAGCAGTCTGAGAGCAGCAGACAGCGAAGGCTTCTTCCTCCCACCTGTTTGACACTGACCTGCAAATCACCGAAGCACACACACACACACACACACACACCTCAGGCTCTCTCCTGTGGAGCTGATGTGTGTCCCTTCATTCTCAGTACAAGATCTCCCTCTTATGTCCAAAGCAGCAGTACTGTAATCTTCGACAGCCCCTCCAGCTAAACTAACCATGAACACTTCCGTCACTAATGCTTTGTGCTGTTCTTCACTCTGACTCACGGTTCGAACAGCTTGCTGAAATGCACAATCAGTTGCCAAGAGATCACAGATCTTGAATATGTCAATGCAGTATCCAAAAAATAATGTGAAAATATTTAAGAAAAATACTAAAGAAACTGTTTAAGAAAATACTAATATTTCAGGATGCACAATATATTTGTAAATGATCAACATCTGACAAATTATGTTGAAGTGGCAAGCAAGAACCACATACTTATAAATGATCATTTAATTTGATAATTTAATGGCAACTCTTTATAATAAAGTTGCATTTTTTTTCGATAGTTAGCTAATGCATTTGGTGTCACAAACAGCATGTATTAATCTCAATTAATTTAAAATGTTTCCTATGCATTAACTAATTGAACCTTATTGTAAAGTGTTACCATTTAATTTATATAATGAACCACGTGGTTTTCATGATGTTAATGACTCTGAAAGCAAATTGCAATTCACACAATATACTGTTTTTATATGCCTGCTGTACGATAATACATTGGCTAATACAAAAGTTACTTCTGGTTAGATCCTGATTTGGCACAATAAACAAAATAAATGGGCATATTGTGTCTGAAATGTCAATTACTCAGTATTAAATTCTTGTTCAAAGGATGGTGTATACAGGAAATATATCAGCTATATCAGTAATACAGCTCTCTTGCTCATGTAGTATTGCTGAAATATCCATCATATCAGTTCAGGTCAAAAACATTTTGATTATCCATATCAGCCAAACCATATTGGTGCATACCTAATGATACATAATCAAAATCTTTTTTTTCGTCTAGGCACTCTGGAATCAGAAAAGACCAAAACTGACTGAAGACCACCACAGATGTTATCCTGCATCTTTTCTCTTCTTCTGAATTCAAATCAGTTGGACTTTGGAGTTCAAACCAACATTATATATTTATCTTGGTCTCCTGAGACATTCATCTCATCCTCATTACTGCCCCTTAATTAAATAAAGCACAGACCTGTATTGAGTTGAACATTAAATTGAATAATTCATGTATTTAATTTATGGTATGACTGTTACAGTATTTCAGAGTACCTCAAGCATTGTGTGCGCACTGAATGATGTGTACTGCACACATGCTGCATTCGTGTGTCTAAAGCCAGTTTAACAAACCACATTATATATATGACTCACGTCAGGTATTATTTATTTACAGAGGGATGATTTATGAGGGAATTTGTCATTCGTTGCTCCTGTAAAACAAATAAGCAACACCTTTATATACACAGTAGCATATGGCAAACGATAATGAGCACAAGATCATTCGCTTCGATGAGCTGTTTGTGGTGTTTCTGAAGCCATAAAAGTTTTTGCTTAAGATGAGCAGATATTGCCGCAAGAAATCCAAACATTGTCAGAAGAGATACTGACCTTGCCCTATTTTGTAACACTTTATAATATAACGTTCTCATACGTTAACATTAGCTAAGATGAACTAATAATAAGCAATCTAGTTTTTAAAGCATTTATCAATCTTTGTAAATGTTAGCTAATAAAAATACAATTGTTAATTTTTGTTTACAAGTTCATAGGCATTAATGTTAACAAATTAATATTTTTACTTCTTTAAAGGGGTCATAGGATGCTACATGCACTTTTACAAGTTGTTTGAACTGAAATGTGTGTTGGCAGTGTGTGTACACAACCACCCTATAATGATAAAAATCCACCCGGTGTTTTTTTTTAATCTGGTTAAATGTTTTCCCCTTTCTCAAATCGAGTCGATCTCAGATGCCTGTCTGTGTGACAACACACAGACAGGCCCTTCCCACGATAGTTTGATTGACAGTAGCGTTTCAGCACAGACTGGACTGGCATCTTACCTTAGCTCCGCCCC